ACAGTTTCTTAATTTTGATGAAATAAAATGTATCAATGTTTTTCTTTCACACATTGTGCTTTTTGGTGTCAGAGCTAAGAAATTTTTTGCCTAACCCAATGACACAAAGATTTCCTCCTGTGTTTTTTATAGTTTCAGTTTCAAATATTTAGGGATTTTCCAGCTATCTTTCTGTTGTTGGTATCTAGTGTAAATTGCACCGTTGCCAGAGAACATAGTTAGCATGCACTGAATACTTCTAAGTGTATTGAAACTCGTACTAATTCGTAATTGCCAGGATACAGTCCATCTCGGCAAATGTTCCGTGTGCTCTTGCAGACAGTGTACATACTGCTGTGTGTGTGGAGTGCTCTGTAGTTGTCAGGTCGGTTGATAGGATCGTTCAGCTGGTCTATCTCCTTACTCATTTTCTGTCTTCTCATTCTATCTGTTATTGAGAAAAGAGTGTTGAAATCTGACTATATTTGTGGGTTTGTTCCTTCTTGCGGTTTTACCATTCTTGTTTTATGTATTTTGAAATTCTGTTATTAGGTGCAAAAATACTTAGTATTGATATGTGTTTGTGAACTGAGCATTCTATCACTATGAAATCACCGTGTTTATCTGGTAGGACTCTCTGCTCTGGACCTAATCTGTCCGATACGAACATAGCCGCTCCCAGTTTCTTTTTCACCAGCCAGCATTGGGCTGATACGTCTTTTTCCATCCGATGATTTTCAGCATATTTGAGTATTTATACTTAAAGTGGGTTTCTTGTACGCAGCATAAAATCAGGACTTGCCTTTTGTTTAGTTTGACAGTCTCTCTTTTTTAATGGGGTTGTTTAAGCCAAACATCAGCCCACAGGCTCAATCTGGCATGGAGCCTGCCTGTATATGAACTAAGAATGGCTTTTACATTATTAAAAGGTTATTAAAAAAATCAAGAGGAGTATGTGGCAGAAATGGCATGTGACCCAAAGAACCTAACATGTTTACTGTCTGGTCCTTTATGGAAGAAGTTAGCAAATCCCCAGTTTAGAATGTTTATATTTAATGCAATGATTGGTGTGGTTGGGTTTAAGTCTGCAGGCCTGCTATTTGTTTTCTGTCTTCATCTCTTCCCCCCCACTTTTGTCTCTCTTTCTGCCTTCCTTTGAGTTGAGTATTTTTATTTTGCTCCCCTCGGCGAGTTTATTAGCTGTGACTCTTTGCTGTGTTATTTTATTGGCTCCAGGGTTTGTACCGTCCACCTTCACTTCGTCACATCTACCGATTCCTACAGTAAAAGAACCTACACAGTGTGCGTCCCTGCTCCCCCGTCCTGTGTGCTGTCACTGTCATAGACGTGACTTACAAACCACCCCGTATATTGTGATTATTTTTGCTTGAATCAGTCAGTTATCTTTTTAAATATTTAAAGTTAGACATAAAGGCTTTACAGTTGCCTCCGTAGTTACCACTTCTAGTGTTCATTTCTGTGCATAAATCTGTTTTTCCACCTGGTACCATTTTTCTTCTGCTTGAAGGGTTTCCTTCAGCGCATTTACAGTGCAGATCTGCCGTGATGCCTTTTCAGCTTTATCGAGGTATAACTGATAAATAAAAGCTGCGTATCTTTAAGGTGCACAGCTTGAACTTTTGATACACATGCATGTTGTAAAATGATGGCCACACTCCAGCTAATTAAAATATTCATCACTTCACATACTTAGTAGTTTCTTTGCTTTTCTTTTTCTGTTTCTGGTGCTGGTGAGAACACTTAAGAGCTACCCTCTTAGCAAGTTTCAAGTGTATGATACAATATTGTCAACTATAGTCACCAGGCTGTACATTAGACCCCTGACCTGCTCATCTTGCACAACTGAAACTTTGGGTGCTTGACCACCATCTCCTCCTAACCCCACCCCAGGCCCTAGCAACCACCATTCTTCTCTCTGAATCGAGTTCAACTTTTTGAGATTTCACATATAAGTGGATCATGCAGCATTTGTCCTTCTGTCTGGCTTGTCCCATTTAGCATAGTCCTCCAGGTTCATCTGTGTGGCGCAAATAGCAAGATATCCTTTTTTAAGACTGAGTACTATTTCTGTGTGTGTGTGTGTGTGTGCGCGCGCGCGTGCATGTGCTTGTGATGAATTCTCTCCACTTACATGTGTCTGAAAACATCTTTGTCTTCACTTCTGGAAGATGTTTTGCTTGGGTACAGAACTCTAGGTTGGCAGGGTTTCTCCTCCCAGTACTGTAAAGATCTTGCTCCATGGTTTTATAGCTGTCTTATTTCTGACGTGGAATCTTCTGCAACCCTTTTCTTTGTTCTTTTGTACATACTTCTTTTTCTCTCTCTCTCTGCTTTTAAATGTTTCTCTTTATCCCTGGCTTTCAGCAATTCACTGGTGTAGTCTGCTTCATATTTCTTGTGCTCGGGGTTCTTTGAGCCATGTGAATCTGTGGGTTTATAGTTTCTATCAAATTTGGAAAATTTTTAGTTATTCTTTAAGTATTTTTCTGTCTCCCATCCCTTCCTCTCATTTAGGTTCTCTGATTACTCTCAGTGGCCCCACAGTTTACTGGTTTTCTATTTTTTTCAGTCTTTTGCTCTTTCTGGGTTTCATTTCAGTAGTTCCCTATGGTTATGGTTTCAAGTTCACTAATCTTTTTTTCTGTGGTGTATTATCTGCTATTAACACCATGCAGTGTGTTTTTTCATCTCCCCTAATGCAGTGTTGCATCTCTAGAAGTTTGATTTAGGTCTTTTTTGTAATGGTCTGTCTGCGTATTTCAGGCTAAAGGCAACATTCTTTTACAAAAGGTGCAGAGCCGGCAGGACCGAGCCTGGAAAGCAGGTCGTAGGGTTAAAGCCAAAGGGACAGATCTCACAGGGAGTCAGATTTGTCCTTTCCTGTTACACACATACTGGCTCAGCCTTTCTTGTGGGCATTTTGTCTGCATACGTCCAGGTGCTTAAAAGTGACCGTACTTTGACCCATGGTTTTACTTAATTAACTCATTCAGAAAAAAATAAGAGTATGGGCAAAGATTTAAGTACAAGATGCTTCATAGGTCAGCGTTCATAATGGTGGAAATATTGAAAGCCACGTAAATGGTCACAAGCAAAGCTGGTAAACAAATTTGATACATGTGTAGTCATAAAAATGGCATGGTTGAAAATCAAATGATACGAGCTATTTTTATCACATATGAAGTGAAAGCCATGGTACAAAACAGCATTACTACGTGATTCCATCTTTGTTTAAAAAATTGATACCTAGAAAATGATTATATCTGAAATGTGATTATTGACTGTTTCTGAGTTGGGTGAATTCATGAGTGGGTTTTTATTTCCTTATGTATATTTTCAAATTTTCTACCATAAAAATGCATTACTTTTGTGATAAGAAGAGTGGGGTTATTTTTTGTTATTTAAAATGTTTGTTAAATGCTATATGCTAAGTATTGGCAAACTTCTTCCATGGAGAGCCAGGTAGTAAATATTTTAGGCTTGCGAGACAGATGGTCTCTGTCACAGCCGCCCCACTCTGCTGTTACAGCACAAAAGTAAGTGCAGGAAATATGTAAATGAATGAAAGTGGCTGTGTTCCAAGAAAACCTGATTTTCAAAGGAGCTGGCAGACCAGATCTGGCCCGTGGGCTGTCATTTGCTGACTGGCCGTAGGCACTTGGGTGTCTAGATTAACTGACAGCCAGCACCCCTCTGTTCGTAGGTGTTTGCAGACTCTGGCCCCTGCTTTTCTCGTCCAGCACTTTTAGAATAAGCCATGCATCCACATCAGCCAAATCCACATTTGTAGCAAGAAAATGTAGCCTCTTTGCAAAGCAATCAACTTTATCTTTTCCCTCGTTTTAAAGCATATTTTCAAGGCTGCTATTCCTTTTTTTTTTTTTTTCACTTTTTCTTTCCTCAATAAAAAAGAATCTTACTTGGCAGGGCTTAGGATCTTGAGGCTCTAGTTACAGGAAAATTAAATGCTTAGCGATGTTATTTTCTGGCACCTAAATATATTCATTTCTGCAATTAAATATGAGTAAATGGGTCATGAGACTTTTTTCTTTTTCCAAGTAAAACTTGGGATGCCAAACAAATTCTATACTTCTGAAAGGAGCAGTTAAGTCTAGTATAGACAAATGAAATGCTAGTAATCCCCAAACCTGCTTTAAGAAATCATTTCAGCTTCCTTGCCCAGGAAGAGAGTTTTTCTAGAGTCTGTTTGCAAAAGTTACCAGGCGATGGCAGCCATGTTTTTTGGTTACCAGTTATGTCATAGTATCACACCAACTTACCACTCTTGCTTCTGGGTGCTCCGTACACTGCAGACGTGACAGAGGACAAGTGTGGGGCGGGGAAGGGTCTCCGGGGCCAGGCTGACCCCTCTGGTCCTGGAACCTAGGGGTCATGTGGGTGAGGCTGTTGTGAGGGTGTTGCGTAACGTGGAAGCCACCGCAGGACATGCGCTCAGGTTGACTCCGCCCGGGGAAAGCCCCAGGCTTCGGGCAAGTGCGGCTGAGTTTTCTGCTCCAGGCTCTCCTGCTCTTCTCCTTACTTTTCTTTGCTCATCTCTGCTGAAGAAGCACCAGCAACACAGCTCCCTGCCGGGCACTGACCGAGGCAATACCCCCAGCGCAGCGCCCCCACCCTGCGCGGCGCTCCCCTCCCCCAGCACGGCGCCCCCCCACTGCCCGGCGCTCTGGCCTTTCCAGCCCCCACCAAGCGCCTGATGCTTCCGTAGGTGCCCCTCTGCACGCTGCTCTTCGCCATGTGGGTTCAGCGCTTGCAGACCCTGAAGCACGCTGTCAGTCCGTACAGAGGGGACGGACCCTCTGGAGACACACAGCCCCCGAGACCTCCCTCGGTGCGAGCTCAGATGCCCAGGCCTTTGGAGCCCGGGTACCAGTGTGACTTGACTGTGGTCTGATAAAGCCAAGGGCTCTCTCTTTTGTCGTGGGGTGGAGGCGGACTGCTCATTTCATAGCTGTGGATTTCCCCTGCTTCTGTCTCCTCAGAAATCGCAGGTGCTCCGGTGTCTGAAATTTCTGGGCCTTTCTCAACAGACGACATAGCCAGCAACTGCGTCCCCGCCCTGCCTTTGAATGAGCCCGTTCTGTGGATTGTCTCCTATGCTCTGATGAGCGTGTGTGGAGTCATCCTTCTTACCTTAATCGTCCTGCTGCTACTTCCGCTGCGGTGTCAGCATCTCCCCCGCGACCCCGAGGTTGTCAACGACGAGTCCTCTCTGGTCCGGCATCGCTGGAAATGAAGAGCAGGGCTGAACTCACGCGACCTTGAACTCAACTATGGAGACAATTAAATTCAGGTGCAGCAGGCAGGGGTTATAAGGCAGGGTTTCTTCCTGTGTCCATTAGTCTTAAATCTCTTCTGCTCTCAGATGCCTTCCAGGTTCACTGTATTTTGATCCTTGATTTTAAAGTTTCCTCTTTTCTCCCCTACTTCCAAGGAAAATGACAATAAAAGACACCTCATTCTTAATCAAAACAGAGTGAATTGAGCTTCAGGCTTTCTGTAGCTGGCTATGCCAAACTATCTAGGTGTGCCACCAAAAACCCAACCGAACAAAAATCCCCACAAGCCTTGGCTGGTTCTCTTCTCCTTCCCACCTCTGGGGAAAAAACAAGAGCATGTAGTTTATAACTCCTCTTAACTAATGGGAAGCTTTTTGTATTAATTGCATTTAAGGGTGTTTTGTGCCAGGCCTCGACCTGGGTCAGGACGGTACAAGAAGGCTCCCAGTAAGATGGCAGGAGAAGGCTGGGGCTGGGTGATCTCACCATCCTGCCCCCTTCTGAGTCAGAAAAAAAGTGGCAGGCCCCCCTTCTGGGTGTGCCTGCGCCCTCAACAGGAGCTGGAGTCCACTAGGAAGAGAGAATCACTCACGTCTTCACCAGCCTCTTCTGAAGATGGAAAGCCTTTGAGTGGGGAGGAGACCTTCTCCTGTGTAGTCAGTACTTCCATAGTATTGTGGGTATGAAAGCAAAAACTACCTCTGTTGAGCCTCCGCCCTGCGTCCCGTGCCTGGGCGGGGGCACAGGCGGCCTGGTTCCAGCCGTTGCCCTCGCCGAACAGCAGCCTGGTCCCGGCAGGCGAGACGTCCCCGGTGCGGAAGCACACCTCGGCCTGGAGAAGCTCTGTCAGCAAGGTGGTTATCGTCACATGTGCTTACTCTTCACTTAAAATGAATAAACACTGTTTGTAAGGAGAAAAAACCAAATTCTATTTCACTTAGCTCATTCCTTTTTCCAAGTCTTCCTGAAGGCAGGTTGCTTGTTACTCTTTCGGGAAATAGAGACAGGCCTGAATGCCCGTTCTTCCGACCAGCGCTCAGAGGACAGCGATGTGCAGAGGATGGGGGGGAGCCTCTGCTTGTCCTTGTGCTGTGAAACCATGTGCTGCATTTCCTGAAGCCCCGCCCAGGCTCAGGCACACCCGTCTGCAACAGCCTAACCAAGCCCGACAAGCAGCTGGCCTGCCTGCTGCTTCCCTGTGGCGTGTTCAGTCTTTGGGACGAGTTGGGTGTGCAGTGGTGTCCTTATCTGGGGAACTCCCCCCTTGCCGTCCTTTATTTGAGGCCTTTGGCCAAGAAAAGCAGAAACCTTTAACTTGATGTCATTAGGAGAAAGGTTTAAAGCCAGTATCCCATCTCGCTGTGTTCCCTTTGCATTGCTGTTGGAATGGGCTGGATGTATCATCCAGTCCCACTGGAAGGGCTAACTAGGAGGTGTCTCCTCTGGCTGGTGTGTTATCTGTGTTCAAAGCAGGTTCCATATGGACGTTCTAGCCACCTGCCCTGCTCACTGTCCCCCCAGGTCACCTCCATATTGAGAAATGCATGACTGTGCCCAAGAGATGTGGAGCCACGGATGTGTGTCGTGGTGTCCTCACAGACTCTCCAGCAGCCAAGAATCTGTAAGATTCTTGTGGAGAAGGTTTGAGTTGCATCTTAGGACACGAATCTGGTGTGTTCAAGATGCAGTTCAGGCGTGGCCATGGCGCAGTTCAGACGCTCTCTTGAAATGGGATGAGAGCAGGACATTCTGTTATCGGAACCTCATCATCACTTCTGGTCTCTGCCATTTGCGAGGTAAAAATTCCAAAATACATTTCAGAGTTAGAAACCTCTGGAAGTCCAGTTCTCTCCTTGCCTTCTTGGTTTCTCTTGGGCTCCCGTTTTGTGGGCCACTTGACCTAACAGTGAAGGCAACACCCCTAGACAGTGCCTTCCCCTTGCTCTGAAAAAAGTCCAAACCCCCGAAATAAAAGGAGGGAATTGTAGATATGACCCGGTTAGTTTTGCTGCTCATTTCTTCACATGGCGTCTTCTGTTTCATCGTCTCGGATGCAGTGTCCGGGCGGGGGAGCGTTCCTGTTACAGCGGACTAAGCCGGCTGTGTGCCCAGAGTACCTGAGAACAGCAGGGTTGCTTTCAAGCTTGGGTATTTGAATGGAGTTTGTGCTGATGCTCTGTATTTCGTATCAGATTTCTCTCCCTTTTCATCTCCAGTGTCATTGGATGTGACATTTTAATGGAAAGACTTAAATTACAAAAGCATAACTTAGCAACAAGAATGAAATAGACAGTTGACTGCAGGACATTTTCCTGGCGTGCTTTGCTGCTGAAGATTGGACTTTGAGTCCAAGCCCTGTCCGTGACACCCACCTCCTCCACTTACGTGAATTGATACTTAGCTTGGCCAAGCTTCAAGGAGGCTCGCTTTGAGCAGGAAAGGAGGCAGCAGTCCTCTGGGGGGTGTCGATTCTACCCTGCACTGTGGAAGGTGTGGAGAATGGCCCTCTCCTGAGAGATGCAGCTGTGCATTAGGCTGTTGTCAGAACCTTGTCAGCTCTCTGATGGGAATGGATGCTTCTACGTGAACCATCGTTTTTTAAAATAGGCTGATGCTTTATATTCTTGATAAGTTATTCAGAAGTCCTAAATGAAATCCTATCTTCAGGAACCAAAACTGTTTATGAAGCGTAGCAAGAAACACGATGAGGATTGATTCTGTTTATTCCTCTGGAATTTAAAAGCACCACAAGTCATTGGTGTCAGATCACCTGGCATCTACCGTATACTGTTCCGTCTTCCTTATGAACCAAAAACAAGTACTTGGCTTTAAAGAACAGATTCTTGTGTGTGACGGCAGGGAACATTTCCCTGAACACAGCTGACTCCCAAAGTTTTGGAAAGGATTTTTTTTTAAACCTGATTCATTGTGAAATGCAGAGGTTTGGGATGGAAGTAAATTTGGGGTCACTTACGGTTGAAAACGATGAAAGTAACTCACAGCCATGTGGCATTAACTCCTCAGAGCTTTGGGTAATAGATTTTGCAAAGCAGTTTTGATTCGAGGGTTCTATTATCTCCTTTAAGAGGAGAGGAAGGATTATTTCTTTATTTAATAGAGTCTCCTCTCAAATGGAAACGTGTTAAGTGCCTCTAACCAGGTCCCCCCACTCCTGCACTGGTGGGGCTGCCGAGCATGTTCAGTTCCAAGTTCTGGCCATGTGCCACTGCATATCATTGAAATAAACCACTGCCCAGCAGCCTGTTCCATGAACAATAATAATCAAGTTTCCCAGACTTTATCCTTATTAGTAGAAACCAAATAATTGGGTGGAATCCCAGGGAGTTTTTCTCTTGCACAAACATATTAGAATTGATTACAGAACTGTTCAGAGGAAAAACTTGCCAGTACGATTTTTTTTCTTTTTTAGGGAAAACAACTAAACATCATAAAATGTAAAATTATGGGTTTTGCCAAGAGAGAGACTAGATCTCTGGTGCCAAGAAACTGGCACACAACAGAACTTACTGTGCACATTTCTAGTGGGTTTTAAGAATTTCAGATTTGAACTTATGGCCGTCAACCAGTTAAATAGTGAGGTGGAAAAATATGTTTTGAGAGTGGGGAGGGAAAATAAAAATATAGTCAAAAGTGCACTTAACAAAATCAGCAGAATTAGCTCTTTTGGAAAAGGAGCTTCAATTTCAGGAATCCTCACATTTCTTTTACCCTCGACGTCGCTGGATCCATTGGAGATGTGATTTATTTTGACACTGCTTCAGATGCCGAACTTCAAGAACATTCAAGCTGGGGTCATGTGCCAGATGACCCGGTCGTGGACAAAGTGAGAAAAGGTGGCCCCTTACACTTACGTTGCCAGGGGAAGACTGGTTCATTCAAGGAAGAGCAGGCGATGGTTGGGACTTGGAAAATTCGAGAACCCGGGAAGGGAGATGGGTCAGAAGCCATATCCCTTGGTCAGCAGATGACTGCTGAGGTCTGGGCAAACTGAGAACATCCCAGGACGTTGGAAACTCGTTTCCCCAAGTTTTTGGCATGGCCACCTCGTGAGGAATTTTCCAAAGGAACCTCTCAGGAGTTATAATTTGTCTAAGAGAAACGTTCATTACAGCTGTCACTTCTGTTGTTCTAACAAAACTAGATACCTGAGCTCCCAAGCAGGACACTGTCCTCAGACTGCGGGTTCAAGGTTGTGACCTGGGAAGTTCATAGGGCAGGGTCAGGAGCTGACCAGGCCTGGGGTCTGAGCACCGGGGAAGGGCTCCTGACCGTGGCCGCCAGGGAGCTCAGACAGCCGTTCCCACCCGGCCTGCTGGCCAGCCCGCCGACCTAGAGTCCGGCAGCTTCCTGACTGCTCGTCCTCCGGGATGCCTTTTGTCAGGGGCGCTTCCAGAAAGAAGAGTTTCAGGAACAGCGGGAGGCTCCCGCGGGGCACCACTGTCCCCTCTGAGCACCTGTGCACAGTGTCCTCGTGGTCCTCGCCATCCCCAAGTGCACACCGGTCCTAATTAGCATCCATGAAGCCATGAACGCAAAGCCCCTGCCCTGGCCTTGCGCCCTGGGTTGGTGAGAGTGCCTTTCCCGGGGCGGGTGGAGACGGCCCGATGCCGCGAGTCAGCAGCCTTGTGGAATGTGGACGTGGGCGCACAGCCAGGCGTCCTGGTGCTGCAGTGTGTCTGCAAAACCTCTGCGCGCAGCAGATTCTGGAGTTAATAAGCACGAATGCCTCAAGGACACGGCATCACCCAGTCAGCACAGTGCTTCCCCCCAGTCCCTCCGCTCTCTGGGCTCTCAGAGCCAGAGGAGGCACACAGATGCCCAGTGTTCCTAAACCGCGTCGTGCTGTGTGCCTGCACAGCGCACGTGCTCTTGCAGGGCACCGGGTGCCTGAAGGCTGGCAAGAGGCACATGAAGGCTCCTGATAGACCCACATACAGCCACAGCACGAGCGACTCTGGGCACCTGATCTTTGATGCTCCAGGGCCTTCACGTGCCCCGTGAAGCCTCCGGGTGCTTGTTGGGGCGTCGCTGATGAGCCGGTGATTCCTGATGTGTCCAGTTAGCATCTCAGGATCTCGGAAAGGGTGTCAGGATAAAATGTCTGTCTCACCTCTAGATCCCTGGTGGTCGGAGAGTGCCTGTGCTCTGGGAGCAGGGGTGAGAAGTGGGCAGCTCTCTCTGCAGCTGGAGAGTTATTTGTGTCAGATCAACTGGGTGAAGTCTCAACTGTGCACAGCACACAGAGGTACCCGCTCATATCAGTCTGAGTCAAGTATTTTGCCAATGGAGATTTATCATTATAAATGATGTAATTACAAACTATAGATTTATAAAATATGATTTTGAGTAAGTCGAGTACAGCTGTCATACGAATGATACCACAAAAAGGAGACAAAGTCTTGGAAGTCTTTGCAACCTGGCCTAATTTGACATTGAGGTTTTCCCATAGGATTTCCTCACTTCGGTTGTGATATTTGTATTTTTACTCAGGATGCAGGCGTGGGTCAGGATAGCATGAGAAGGCAAATGTCTCCAAAAGGGCTTGTCTTTTCCTCTGTTACACGCTACGTGTGGGTGGAGTTGAAAGCTCCTGGGTGTAAGTAAGTTTTCAGCTTGCGTCATTTCACCTGTTGAAATAAAATTTCCCATGAGCCTCACATTCCCAAAAAATTGTCTTTGTGAGAAACAGAAAAGTAAGCAAAGCTAAAGAAGGATCTATTGATTTGTAATGAAAGTCACCGAAAATAAACTTCCATGACTCCAGTCTCTTGTACTATTTTGTGTTCTTTGCTGCTGGTGGGAACAGACTTGGAATTGTTTTTTTCTCATTTTACTGATTGCGGATGTAACCTTATACATCCTTATCAGTGAGGCTGCAAATTCTGTTTAGGGTTGGAATTGGTACAGTGAGAGGGAAAAGAATGGATGAGATTTCCATGTGCTGATGAAAGACGACTTTTTGTCACCTAGAATGTTGTATTTCCTGCTATTTGTGTTGATTCACACACTTAAATATACTGAAAGTTTAAAATCCCTGTGTTCAGTCACTTAAAGCAGCCACTCATCTTTTTCTCAAAAAGAGTAATTTCTGCACTGGCAGTGTTAATTGTACTGGCTGAAAAGCTGCAAACCTTGTATTCTTAAAAAAAAAAAGCTAAAAGTAGTGCTTTGGAAAATGTCTTTTATGTGTGTATCTCGGACTTACGTTCTTAACACACAATTCTTAAGTGTAACTTGTATTTCTGAAAATGCTTCAGAGTATTTTATACTTCCCTTTTGGAATTTTCCTCTGTTTTTTAGTATATCATGTTGATTTAAATCGAAGTTGTAATAGGACCAAGAGCTGGAGTACAGAGGTTTTCATTCCACTTTAGAAGATGCCATCTGAGCTGCTGACCAGTATCCAAACTGTTATGTACCTCAAAAGTGGAATTTTCTAAAATAGTCTTATTTTTGTACCTGTATATTCCACTAATTTGGGATGTATACCATTGAAAAGGAGATAAAAGTTTGATTTCTTTGAATAAATAATACTTCCAACGTGTTGGGTTTGGATTTATTTTTTAACACTTGGTTCAAGTCACACTTCTGGAATTACAGTCGGTGACGTGTCATCTTCTGCTTACCTCCACTGCTTTAATGTGGGTTCCTGGAAAGTATCAGAGATAAAGTTGAATGAAGGGAGAGTCCAAGTCCAATCATTAAGGTATAAAATATGCTGGAAAAGGGAGAATAAAGTACCTGAGAAAGTGAGAACCATCCCGGGTAAGAGGGGAGAGAAACCCGTAGGAAAGGCACTCAGAAAGCACAGGTAAGCGGCTAGGGCTTGGCTGGGGGCTGAAAATGTCCAGACTAAGAATGTCCAAGCCGACCCAGTCCCACAACCACCCGGCAAGGATGGTGTGTTCTCCAAATTCTACGGGTGAGAAAGCGGCTCCAAGTCAGGTGCCTAGGAGAACACAGGAAACGGCTGTCCTGGAGTGGACCCCACTCTGTCCACCGTCAAGACCAAAGGTCTCTCTGCCCCACACTCTCTCCCAGGTGCGGTGCTAAGTCATACCTTCCAGAAGCCTAAGGATCCAGGTGAGAGGGTCATTCTCAGGGAGGGGTGTGCGCCGACTCACAGGAAGCAGAAATGCTCAGTGGAGACGCGCTTCATCCACGAGCCAGGAGTAAGCTGCTGCACCAGCCCCGGAAAAGGACACTTTCAGTGACTAGACACTTTCTGACAGTACCTGGACAAGGGGGAAAAAAAGAAGATCAAACCATTTGGAAGCGGTTCAATAGTTACCGGAGGAACAGAATAGGAGATTTAACTTGTAACAACGAAGGAGACCATTTGATTGCAGTTCTCACTTACGCGGAACTCCAGGTTGATCAGTTTCCGCATCCACCTGCTGTGGGTGGCGTTGCGGATGTGATTCCGCGTGTTTGCCGCTAAGTGGGGCTGTTGTCAAACTTTATGGAAGGACTTTAGTGCTTTTGTTTTTTTCATTCCTTGTGGCTTTCACAGGCAACTTTTAATCGAGTGTGTCTGTAATTAAATTACATCCAGCAACTAAAGATGTCCACTTCTCCCTTCTTCTCCAAAATAGAATCTGCAAAATATATTGGCTGGATGTGTAGTAAATCTTGGAAGCAATTCTCAAACACGTATCTCCAGCTGGTGGCCAGGTCCTTGGCTATGGCACAGTGGAGTGAACTGAGTCAGTGAGGGGCCGAAAAGTCCCCAGGCCCTCGCTGCCCTGGCAGAGTCCAGACTGGAAAAACCAGCTTGTCTGATTACCAGACCCATGAGCTCAACCATTCAGCTACCGTCTTTTTAAGGTTAAAGACAGGAAGGAAAATTACTTTTAAAAATTAAATAGAATATATGCTAAGATTAAAACGCTACAAGAGAAAATACTGGGGAAAATATTTGTAACAAATATAAGGAAAAAAGCTAACATTTATTGAATAGCAAATTCTGGCATATTAGATGTGTTAACATTTCATCCTCAGAACAGCCCTATCAAGTACACATTGTTCCCAAAATTGTTTCTTTAAATCCTGGAGTGGAAGGCAGGGGACACAGAGAGGACAGATTCCAGGTGCAGAGAAAGGAAGATCTCAGTCCACAGAATGAGATTCCACAGGCCAAGGTCTTAAGTGTCATTACAGTAAATAAATAAAACTGAGAAGTTTCATTGCATAGAAAAATTACTTCCAAATGTTCCAAATATCCTGATGCTTTGACCTCTGGGAACTTGCTGACCCTGGAGAAAATGGACTCCTAGGGTTGGCCGATTCCTGCGAGAACAAGAAACTCACCTGCAAGCAGACAAATCACCTGGGTGTGTGTCTTTCAAATGCAAACCAACCAATCCAGAACCCTCATCCCTAAGACCTTGTTTATCCTTTATGACTCTCACACTGGGCCACCGTCTCCCTGCCCTCATCACCCCAGGGTCAGGTAGCAACCATTTAAGACAGTCCCTATGCCCCAAAGCCTGCTGGAGGTATTCAGTCTAGACAACCCTAAGCCCATTAACCCTTCCTGCCCCATTCCATCCTGCAGAAACCACAATAAATGCTCTTGTGTCCGCTCCGCCTCCCGCTGCCCCCTCCCTCCACGTGGTGCTCCCCCTGGGCACGAGCCGCCTCCTGTCTCCAGTGATCTGTAAGCAAAACACGCTTCTGCCATCAGGACAGTTCTTTCTGCTTCTGTGTGTCCTACCTCATTTAAACAATCCCCAGGGACCCTTCAAACACCAAAGAAGAACATGAGAGCCCAGTAGAAGTGGAAAGATTACGAACAAATGCTGGCCAAAGAGGGAATATAAATGACTAAGAAACCTGCAAATGTTCAGCCTTGTTAATAACGTATGCAAAATGCTGAAGTAGCTACAAATCAAATGCACAAAGCTGCCTAAGGCATGAGCGATTTCCTATTTTGCTGATGAGGAGTGTAAACTGGAGAAGCCATTTTAGAGAGCCCGAAAAGCAGCCAAGCCATCGCTGGATCGACGCTTCTCTTAGAAATCTGTTCTAAAGAAACAGAAATGTGGACAGACCAGGAACTAGGGTAGAGCGAGAAAAGCAATTTGCTGAATAATATGCCAATATCGTATCCATGGTAAAGAGAAATATGTTAATACGAATGTGAGAGTATAAAATGTAAGTCTAGTGAGTATGTGAAGTTCACACTAACCTGTTACGCCACGAAGTGGGACTCGTGGATAGAAAAGGATGGTTTAGGGATTTTTAATTTTTATTTTTATTCAAGTAACACATTTACATCATTTTTAAAAATCCAAATAATCTCAAGAAAGGCATATCACGAAAACCGGTGGTCGCCGGCCTCACCCCTACCCACCTTTAGAGCCTGCTGTGCAGAGGCAGCCCCCTAGTCTGGTTTGCCCTGGTACCTGCTTCCATGTTTCCAGATGATACATTCATGCTGCGTTGTACGTGACCAGCCAACAGAACTGATCCTGCTGATTGAGTGATTGCCAACCTGAGCATCTTCTAGATTCCCGCACTAACTAGGGCCAGTTCTGTCCCGCTCTGATTCTCCATGTGGATCTGCTTTTGCACCTGGGTCCACCTGCCAATGTGACTTAATTCCTAGGAGGAATAATATTATTAATACTAATACAGGATTAATATATGCTATCCCCCTGGTTAGTCCTCTCAGGTGACATTACCATGTGTTTCTTTTCCTGGATATCCTTCAGAAATGCTGGATGATGTCTCTGATATACCCTGTTCAGGGCTGTTTTGGAATCATGCTAAATTTACAGATGAATTTAGAGAGAATTTACATTGTTACAAAACCGAGCCTTTGACCTCAGCAGAATGGTGTAGTTGTGTCTTTTTTGGCACCTGTCACGTCCCTCAGTAAAATTTAAATTCGCGTTGATCCATGCGTACTTCTTGACAACTTAGTTCCCAAGGGTTTTGAATTTTTTGTTGACACGATGAGTGGGATATTTTTTTCTATAACGTTTTAAAATTGGTTATTGTCAGATATCGGAAAACACCTATTTTTCTGTGTCCATCTTGTAATTGACCACATTAGCAAACTATTGTTTCTAACAAGTTTCTTCCTGGCTTTAATCTTCTGGGGGTTTCCGAGAAGAAAATTGTGTCATCTGCAAATAATGGTAATCATAGCTCCTTTCTAATATTTGTGCCTTTTATTTTAGGTTCTTTTATTTTAATGCCTATTGTGGCATATAACACAATGCTTAAGCCAGTTTTAATTTAAGTTTAAATAGGTTATGCGTTCACAAATTTCAAAGATCAAAACAATATATGGTGACAAATCTCCTTCCCACCCCTCACCTCTCATCTGCCTACTTTCAACCCCTTCCCACTGCCCCCCGCCTCTGCCAAGGTGACCTCTTACGAGTTTGCCAGCAGCCTTCTAATTTATCTTTAGGTACTGATCAGCATACATTCTTATTTTCCCTCTCTTTTCCATGAAAAGGTAACAGACTACATACACTGGTCTGCTTTCTTCCTGGTTTCACATAGTCTACCTTGGAGATGGCTCCAGATACTTTTCCAGATGCATCACAGCCACTGAGTGCATGTGTCACTCTCTGTCTCACCAGCCTCATGTCGCCAGCATCTCACCTTCAGCTCTGACAAACATTGCTGCAGTGAATAACCTTATCCAAACATCGTTACGTGGCCACGTCCACCTGGAGGATTCATTTCCAGGAAGGTAATTGCTGGGTT